CGGTGACGACAACGATGACATCAACATTAACGGTGACGACAACGATGACATCAACATCAACGGTGACGACAACGATGACATCAACATCAACGGTGACGACAACAATGACATCAACATCAACGGTGACGACAACGATGACATCAACGGTGACAACAACGATGACATCAACATCAACGGTGACGACAACGATGACATCAACATCAACGGTGACGACAACGATGACATCAACATCAACGGTGACGACAACGATGACATCAACATCAACGGTGACGACAACGATGACATCAACATCAACGGTGACGACAACGATGACATCAACATCAACGGTGACGACAACGATGACATCAACATCAACGGTGACGACAACGATGACATCAACATCAACGGTGACGACAACGATGACATCAACATCAACGGTGACGACAACGATGACATCAACATCAACGGTGACGACAACGATGACATCAACATCAACGGTGACGACGACGACATCGACAATGAAAACATCGGCGATGACAACAATGACCACAACATCGACAACATCGACAACATCGACCAATGACCACAACATCAACAACGGCAATATCAACATCAAAAACATCAACGACAACATCAACAATAACGACGACAACATCGACAATGACAACATTGGCAACAACATCAACGACAAAAGTGACCACAACATGAACAATGGCAACATCAACAACGGCAACAACAACAACATGGTTGTGGCGTGGTGGAGGTAACGGTGTCGCAGTTGTGGTGGTGGTGTCGGTATCGTCATCATGTATGGTCTTGAGTTTTGATTATAGTGCGCCGATCTTTAAAGGTGTATTGAATTTTTTTAATTCTTCTCCCGATACTCCTGCTGTTATGGAGTGACTCATGCAGCCAGCTATGGCTGCAAAGTTTGGTCGTACATGTTATGTACATATCGTTTATTGTTAAATTTGAATCACAGTTCCCAATGATCACTGTTACATTGTTTTTATAGCTTTATTTTGGTGATTTTGAAAACGTTTTGGTTTAGCCATGTTTGTTGTAGTACAGCGTTAGCCTGATAACTTGAATCTACAATTATCTCATGGTTGTTATTGTTTGACTTGCATCCCACTGGGATTTTTTCACACATCGTTGAAATACGGTGTTTTTTTCTGGAAGATTTTGCTGTTTTCTCGTGGACGTTTCTGTTGCGTGAAGTCACTTTAAGATGTTTCTTGTTCATGTTTTAGTTTTGTTGCGGTTGCACCCGAGTCAAGAGCCGCATGGCTCACAGGGTTATACCTAATAAAGAATAAATGAAACTGAATGTAGTAGCAGCAGTCGTGGTGGTGCGGTGGTGACGGTGCGGTGGTGACAGTGGTGGTGGTGGTGATGGTCGTGGTGTCGTGGCGGTGCCGGCGGAGGTGGTGGCGGAGGCAGCGGTGGCGGTGCTGGCGAAGGTGGTGGCGGCCGTGGCGATCGTGGTCATGTGGCGAGTGCTTGTTGTGGTGATTTCGTGGTGGCGGCTGTGGTGGCGCCGTGGCGGCGGCGTGTCGCCCCGTCACCGGTATCCGTCGATGAAGCTGGCGTTGATGTAGTCGGAGCCCTCGACGCCGCGGATGGGCTGCAGGGGCACGCGCGTCACCTCGTAGGGCAGCACGTTCACCAGGCGGTTCTTGAACTTGTTGCAGGGCAGGTTGGCGCTGACGAAGCACGCCGGGCTCAAGCGCGTGTTGGCCAGGCGCTGGGTGTCACGCACGGACGGATGGACGCGTCGGGGGGTTTGGAGGGAAAGCGTTCGTTCAGTCCGCGTTAAGGGCCGTATCGTGTGTGCGGATATGTTGAGCTTCTTTCGCGCCGTACGTAGCAAAAGCGTGCCGTCACGGCTCGGATCGGAGCTTTGGGTCTCCGGCTCAACTCGATCCGCCGGCGGTGCGGTTGAGCCTGAGCGTGAGCCTGCGCCACGGGCTGAGCCGCTCGCTCGCTCGCTCGCCTTTGCATGCGGGCCGAGCCTGAGCGGTAAGAGGCCTAGCCACGGGCTGAGCAGCTCGCTCGCCTTTCTACGACCTCCACCGTGGCCACCAGGTGACCACCTGGGCCGGATTGATCCCTGGACCAGTTGCGACCCCTTGGGCTGGGTCATTTGACCCCCCCCCCCCCACCACCCACCGACCTCCTCCCCCCCCCCTCCCACTTCGCTCACCCCACCTAACCCCCTCCTTCGCTTTCTCCCGCCCCCCCTCACGGCCGCCTCCTCACCTTAAACTCCAGCACCATGCCCGTGATCCCGTGCGTCGCCTGCGGACTCGACGGCGCGGCAGTCACCGTCTGCGGCTGCTGCTGCTGCTGCTTGGCCGAGGACGCGCCGCCGCCGCCGCCGGTGGTGGGCTGCTGCTGCTGCTGCTGCTGCTGCTGCTGCTTGTGCTGCGCGGACGACGCCGCCGGCGGCGGCGGCGGCGGCGCCTGCTGCTTATCGTGGCGGTGCGGCGCGGCGGGCGAGGCGAGGCGGCGCACGTGCGCGTGGAGGGAGCGCGCCGGCACCTCGGTGCCGCCGGCGCTGGCCGCCTCGAGCAGCGCCTCGTGCACGAAGGCGTACTGCTCCTCCGTCTGCACCATGTAGTTGCGCTGCGAGCGCAGGCACGTGACGAGGCCGTACGCGTCCGCCGTGCGCTCCGAGCGCAGGCGCTCCAGCGCGGCGTCCAGCGCCACGAAGCAGCCCGTGCGGCCCACGCCGGCGCTGGGGCGGAGGCCGGCAACGTCGCGGTGAGCAACACGGGTTGTTGTTGGGTTAGATCGAGCAAACATGCAAACGCGTCGGTAATTTTCGCCGCCACCCGACGTTTTACGTGACAAACCTTACCAGGTGGCTGTGTCGGGTTTGTCCGACGTGCGGAATATTCGCGTTACGTGATCGTTCTCGGGAACCTAACCCTTCCGTAACCCGGGGACTGCCTGTACCAAGACCACAACCCTCTGCCATCGCCCCTATATTACCACAACCATCACCGCCAACAAGCACCACCGTTACCACAACCACCGGCTACTACCCCGTCCACCACCACCCCTCACCCACCTCACCACCACCCTCTACCATCACCACCACCCTCTCTACCACTACCATCACCACCACCCTCTCTACCACTACCACCACCGCCGCCACCACCACCACCCTCTCCTCCACCACCACCACAGCCCGAGCGTCGTCTCAGCACCTGCAGCACACCATCCATCACAACAATCACCACCACCACCACCACTACCCACCCTCCAAAGACAAAGATCCCCCGTATAGCCTTAACAAACTGTTGAGGCAAATGCTGTTGGCGAGCAGTGCTTATGAAGGCCGGCATGGCACACGTGGAGGTGGGTGGCCAGCATCACCCCCACCACTACCGCCACCACCACCAACACCACCCTCCACCACTACCGCTACCATCACCGCCACCGCCACCACCACCACCACCACCCTCCACCACTACCGCTACCATCACCGCCACCGCCACCACCACCACCACCACCACCCTCCACCACTACCGCTACACCACCACCGCCACCACCCTCCACCACTACCGCTACCACCACCGCCACGAGCGTCGTCATCTCGGCACCTGCAGTGCACCACCATGGGGCCCGCGTCAGGCGGGTTGCAGGCCTTGACGCGCCGCAGGAATGCCAGGAAGGGCGTCGGGTACTCGGGGACGCCGTGGTCCGGCCACGCCGTGAACTGGAACTGCCGCACCTCCCGCCGCTCCCCGCTGCCTCCCTGCCGGGGTGGGGAAGGGGGTGGAAGGAGGAGGCTGTCACGTGACTCTGTGGCTACGTAGGGCTTGACTGGGCTGACGTCCACTCTGTTTAAGTATTTCACCGGGTAAGGCCCACACTAAGCTTTTTTTCGGAAGCGACCTGGCCGATCACAAATGAGAGTTCATCGAAGTGTGGAAATGTACAGCAGACAAACACTCTAAACGCGTGATGTTGATTCTAAATGTGTAGGGGACAAAAACGGAGGACCCGGAGAGAAATCCACGTGACCACGGGGAGAGCGACATGCAAACTTCAAATATACAGCAGCAGCAGGAGTCGTCAGGGTCAGGATCGAACCCACGACCTCCTGCACACCAGGCGAGGTAGTCAACATCTCTCCACCGCCGGCGCCCACTCAAAAAACAACTTCTTCTCTCCACCTTCTCCCCCTCTCACAGAACCCACTGTACATACGTACGTAGCTCCCAACGGCTTCCTAACATCGGAGGGGAAGAGCGGGATTCCAGACGGCCGTCTGGAACGCGCGACAAGGGCCTCACCCTCTGCAGCGTGAACGTGCGGACGCAGTACGTCGCCAGATCCATGGTGTCCTGCAGCGCCACGGTCAGCGTCCCGTACGTCTCCGAGCCGCGCGCCGGCCAGTAGCGGTCACACTTCACCTGGTGGGGTGGTACGGGGGTGGGGGGTGGGGGGGGGGCGGGTGACGAGGGGCAGCGGTGGTGACGTCGTGACGTCGTCGTCATCGTTGACACAAGGAGCCGGACCCCGACTCCGGCTTGCGTCAGCCGGCGGTCGTGCCTCCGCCGCTACGGCGCGACTCCACCGGGTTCCCGGCGTCACGCCTGATGATTACTAATCACGCCTGATGATTACTAATCACGCCTGATGATTACTAATCACGCCTGATGATTACTAATCACGCCTGATGATTACTAATCACGCCTGATGATTACTAAACACGCCTGATGATCACTAATCACGCCTGATGATTACTAATCACGCCTGATGATTACTAAACACGCCTGATGATTACTAAACACGCCTGATGATTACTAATCACGCCTGATGATTACTAAACACGCCTGATGATTACTAATCACGCCTGATGATTACTAAACACGCCTGATGATTACTAATCACGCCTGATGAGTACTAATCACGCCTGATGATTACTAAACACGCCTGATGATTACTAATCACGCCTGATGATTACTAATCACGCCTGATGATTACTAAACACACCTGATGATTACTAATCACGCCTGATGATTACTAATCATGCCTGATGATTACTAATCACGCCTGATGATTACTAATCACGCCTGATGATTACTAAACACGCCTGATGATTACTAATCACGCCTGATGATTACTAAACACGCCTGATGATTACTAAACATGCCTGATGATTACTAATCACGCCTGATGATTACTATTCACGCCTGATGATTACTAAACACGCCTGATGATTACTAAACACGTCTCTCTCTCGAGATGCCAGGGACCGTCGATGAGCGTCTTGCGCCCCGTTGCCGCCACCTGTGCTGCTTCGTCCCGGGATCCGCAGCCCCCCCCCCCCCGCCCCTTTCCCCGCCGCTCCCACCTCTTCCCCCTCTCTCACCTCATCCGCCTCTTCCTACGGAGCGTCCCGATTTCTCTGCACAGCGCCGGAGGTTTGGCCGAGGCCGCCCCACCCCCCCCCCCCACCTCACCCCCGCCGCCGCCGCCTTCCGGCGACGCTCAACTCAATCGACCGCACCGCACCGCCGCCGCCGCCGCCGCCGGCCGACGGAGCCGGCGCCGCCGCCCCGCCCGTACCCGCGAGCGCTCCTCTAGCTTGGTCATCATGACGACGGTGGCGCTGCGCTGCTCCCACACCATCCTCCAGAAGTCGGCGAAGGTCTCGGGCAGCGGGCCCTGCGTGGCGATGTAGGCGTTGTGCTTGCGGTAGCCGTCCATGTAGTTGGCGTTGATGTAGTCGCTCCCGGGCTCTCCTGCGGCGGAGGGGACGGGGTGGCGGGGTGGCGGGGTGGCGGGGGAGGGAGAGGGGGTGGGCGCACCGCACGCTCCGATTAGCGTGGTTGGCATAAACCATCGTCACACGAACTCCGGTCATCATCCTCGCAGCAGCAGCAGCAGCAGCGGTTTTTGGCGGGCCATCGTGAAAGACTGCTTTTAGCGTGTTAGCACAGTTGGCTACGTACTGTGCGAAAGAAGTTCAACCGTACGTACACACATACAAAGAGGGTCGTCGCATCGCTTTCAAATCCGCCTCTGCGGCCGTCTGGAACGCTCTTCCTTCCGATATTAGGAAGCCACTGGGATTTACGCACTTTTAAATAATATAGATTGACAAACTCATTTCTTTAGAATTGATTTTTGTGTTTGGTTTGTTGTCCACCCCCCGCACCTCCGACTAGCACAGTTGGCTACGTACGGTGCAAAAGAAGTTCAACACACGTACACGCCCGGCAGACGGCTGAATCTTTGAAAATTTTTGGGAATCTTTATTTCTAACTGAAGAAGGCGGAGGAGGAATGTGATGGTGGCAATGAAGATTTTTTTTTTTCTTTCACAACTACAAGCAATGACAGGAGGACGAGAGAGAGAAAAAGTTCAGCGAGCCGATGGAAAACAAGTGAATGAATATTCACGCAGCATGGAAGAACACGTTGCTACGAGTCGCATCGGGGAGCATGATCACCGTGGTGGTGATAGCGGTGGTGGTGGTGGTGGTGACGGCAGCGGTACCGGTGGTGACGGTCGACTCAGCCTCAAACGAGCACCTGGCGCGGTGCGTAGTAAACAGCGCCACTGGGGAGACAAAGGCGGCCGGGCGTGGTGTTGGCCACCCACCCCGTTCCGGCTTTCAGAGGCGCTACTCGCTAACAGCACTTGCCCCGACAGTCTGTTAAGGCTATACGGGGGATCTTTGTTTTTTTGTTTAGAGTAAATCCACAACGTTTGCAATTTCAGGAGTGCCGTGAGGTTTCGCCGGTAATTACATCAACCGGCGATCATTGGGCGATTTGCCAGCATAGTGAAGCAATCCGCCCGATTCGGGTCTCAAACATCACTGTTATAGTCAACATTACGTTTCCCTTGAAGGCCACGGGCGCGGTTGCTGCTGACGGAGCCCGCTGAGTTGCCCTGTGCGTTTCGTCGAGACATTTCTCCCGCAGAAACTTAGCCACCGTTGGGATTCGAGGTATATGTACAGGCACGCGTTTCATACGTAACATTATAAATGTTCTTTGACCCTTCCTTCTTTCTTTCTCTCTCCTTCTCCGAGGCTAAATCGCGTCTGTTGCTTTGCAGATAACGCGTGAGGAAGAAAAAAAAATATTCCCCGCGCATTTTTAAGCGAAGCACGGAAAATAAGGGAATTAAATGAGGACTCACATTAAAATGTAATTAAGAGGCACTGGAGCGGGCGGACGGGCGGGCGGGCGGCCGCTACCGCTGGTGCGATCTCGCTGCCGTTACGCGCCGATAATCACGCCCCGGAACCGACTAAGTGCGGCGCGAGAGAGAGCGGCTAATTGAACGGTGCGCCAGGAAAAAAAACAAAAAGATTCCTCGCAGGCTCCCGCGGCGTCGCGAGCTCGAGAGCGGCGTCGATCGTGAGCGAGAGGGCGAGCGAGAGGGCGAGAGAGACGGCGAGCGAGAGGGCGAGCGAGAGAGGGCGAGAGAGAGAGGGCGAGCGAGAGGGCGAGAGAGAGGGCGAGAGAGACGGCGAGCGAGAGGGCGAGCGAGAGAGGGCGAGAGAGAGAGGGCGAGCGATGAGGGCGAGAGAGAGGGCGAGCGAGAGAGGGCGAGCGAGAGGGCGAGCGAGTGGGCGAGCGAGAGAGGGCGAGCGAGAGGGCGAGCGAGAGAGGGCGAGCGAGAGAGGGCGAGCGAGAGGGCGAGCGAGAGGGCGAGCGAGAGAGGGCGAGCGAGAGGGCGAGCGAGAGAGGGCGAGAGAGAAGGCGAGCGAGAGAGGGCGAGCGAGAGAGGGCGAGAGAGAGGGCGAGCGAGAGGGCGAGCGAGAGAGAGAGAGCGGTCGACAGCCCGAGAGGGGGGAGAGGGGGGGCGGTGGTTTAGCCGCTGGTGGTGCTGGTGACGTCGGTTGGCGCTGCGACGTACGGTGCCAAAGAAGTTCAACACACACACACATACAAGCAAGCGCAGCCCCTCCGCGTGTGTGTGATTGGGCCCTGGTGTCAGTGCGGGGAGGGGGGTAGTGTAGCGGTCAGCGCTGCGCTACGAACCCCGGCTACGACACGACATTGATTCCCGCTCACGGCCATCACCACCACCAACACCAACACCCAGTGATAGCGACTATCTGACACCGATCCTAGGCCTCCTCCCCTAGGTCGACTCAGCCTCAAATGAGTAACCTGGTGCGGTGTGCAGTAAAGATCGCCACCGGGGGAGACAAAGGCGGCCGAGGACAGAAATACGTAGACTCCTGTATACCAGGTGAGGTAGATAGCCATCTCTCCATATTCTTTGGGTCTTTGGGTAAAGTCACGTAGATAGGTTCACATAAAAACAGGTCCCTGCAAGGTGGGCTGGTAGGACAAGTCTCTGCGCTGTCTATTGCTGATTTTACACCCAACAGCACGAGATTTCACTTCGTTAAAGTATTGAAAGGGGACGGACGGATGGACACATTAATCTATTGCAGGCTGGTACACTCAGTTTACAACTTCGTTCCTACCAGTATAACAAAAGTTTTCGTATTTTCTTTGAACCTATCGACGTGACTTTGCCGAAAGACCAAAAGAAATATGAATTCCTGCAGTCACGAAAGCTTGAAGTCCAAATATACGGAAGTCGTCAGGGGTCGGGATCGAACCCACGACCTCCTGCATACCAGGCGAGGTAGTCAACATCTTCCAGCCAGCGTGATGATGATAATGAGAGACACAAACTCCAAATATACAGCAGTCGTCAGGGGTCGGGATCAAACTCACGACCTCCTGCATACCAGGCGAGGTAGTCAACATCTTCCAGCCAGCGTGATGATGATAATAAGAGACACAAACTCCAAATATACAGCAGTCGTCAGGGGTCGGGATCGAACCCACGACCTCCTGCATACCACGCGAGGTAGTCAACATCTTCCAGCCAGCGTGATGATGATAATGAGAGACGCAAACTCCAAATATACGGAAGTCGTCAGGGGTCGGGATCGAACCCACGACCTCCTGCATACCAGGCGAGGTAGTCAACATCTTCCAGCCACCGCGACATTACCGCGGTGTAAGTGTAAGCGGGTGGTGGGCGGGGCGGGGGTGGTCGGGCGGGCGGGCGCGCCGCTAACTCACCGTCCACGGGCGCCAGCAGCACGCGCGAGTGGTCGTAGGCGATGACGTTGGCGTAGCGGTTCTTGGGCTTGTTCACCTCCAGGTTGGAGTGCTCCCACGTGAACTGCTGCCCCGGGTCAATGGACTGCAAAGAGAGAGACAAGGACGAAGGTTCACCCCCCCCCCCCCGACCGTGTAGCCTACGATGGACTGTCGGGGCGAGTGCCGTTGGCGAGTCACCGAACGTAACAGCAACAAACGCAAAAACAAACAACGTGATAGGAGTGCAAAGTGTATCGGGAAGCTAAACAAATAACAAATCGCTGCAATTTTTTTTAAAAAAAACTAAACTATCTTTTCTATATCTTGCCAGGCATTCGGGGCTGCGCCGTGGCCTACGACCTCACATACCCCCCTCCCCCACCCCCCCCACCCCCCCCCTCTGTGACAAAGAGCTTTATAGCTCGTCGTATTTCTCCACGTTGCGAATTGGGGCGAGCGCCGGTCACCTCACCTCGTACTCCTGCGCGAACAGCATGTTGTCGTTGGCCTTGAGCCGCTCCACGTGATCCACCAGCTCCTCCACGGCAATGGGCGGGTGACTCATCATGCCTAGGGGCAAGGGGTCGGCAAGGGGGGAGGGGGGCAGGGGGGGGGGGTGATCAATGAGACTTGACAGCGGCCGACGAGTGTAGGACGAGGTAGGAGGAAGTAGGACGAGGTAGGAGGAGGAAGAGGGAGGAGGGAGGAGAAGGGGGGAGGATGGAGGAAGGAGTAAGGAGAGAAGAGCGATAAATCTGTTGTTAAATCTTTAATTTAAAAAGGGGGGGGGGGGGTTACATAAAGCAAAGCATTAGAAAAAAACAAAAAAGGAGAGAGGAGGGAGATGGAGGGAGGAAGGAGAGAGAAGAGAGGAAGGAGGAGGGAGGAGGATGAGATGACAGCGCGTCAGGAGAGGAGAGTAAACCAACATCACACAAACTCCGGTCTTCCTCGCTAACAGCAGCAGCGGCAGGGGCGGCTTGTGGCTGACCATCGAAAAAAAAAAGACGGTCACGGGCATCGCTTTCAGATGCGCGCTCTCCGCGGCCGTCTGGAACGCTCCCCTCCTTCCGATATTTCCCGCGCCTCCGATTAGCACGGTTGGCTACGTACAGCGCGAAAGAAGTTCACCATGCATGCATTCGGAAGCCACTGGAGCTATGCACCTTTGAAAACTCATTGATTTAGAATTGCTTTTTGTGTTTAGTTTGTTGTCCTTCCTCTCCCCAATCCCCTCCCCAATCCCCTCCGCACCTCCAATTTAGCACGGTTGGCTGCGTACGGTGCGAAAAAAGTTCAACCATACGTACGCACGTTCAGAATTCAAGGAGAACTGTAGATGAGGTCACATTTAAGGAGAGCGCCACTGAGTCTCAAGGCTCTTATCAAGAGCATCCTGAGAATAGGGTTTTTCCCCTTTTTTCTGGCAACACAACTGAAACCTTTTCACGAGGATTCATGTTGCTGCATTAACCACGATACCTGCAGTCAAAATGCAAACAAGAAACATACTATGATAATATATGCATTGTCCTTGAAACTGATTGGTCCACCCAACGACCTTTTGGCGTCATCTGGGCGAGCACCAATTGGGTCGAGGCTCAAAAGAAAGCCGTCCCTTGGTGTGGACCAATCAGTTTCAAGGACAATGCACATATTTCGATTTAAAGCTTTCGTGACTGCAAGGATTCATCTTCTTTGGTTCTTTCGGTAAAGCCACGTAGAATGAGAATAAAATAATAAATTGATAAAATAAAATAACACAATAATATTCTCACGACGTTTCCGCCACAACACAGTCTCGTCCCTTCACCTGATGAAGGCCGCTTGTGTTGTGGCCGAAACGTCGTGAGAATTTGATTGTTATTTTATTTGATCAATTTATATTTTTTTTCTCATTCTACGTGACTTTACCGAAAGAACCAAAGAAAATGCATATATTATCAAAGTATGTTTTTGTTTGCATTTTGACTGCAGGTATTGTGGTTAATGCAGACATGAATTCTTGTAAAAAGGTTTCAGTTTTGTTGCCAGAAAAAAGGGGAAAAACCCCTATTATTACATTTTGGTACTGGCAAAGGAGGTCTAATGATGAAGAGCATCCTGCTTCGGGGACGTTCGGCCGATACGCTGCTGGACGGATGCCAGTCTGCCTTAAGCCCCCTGGCCCTCTGCCACGGGATCCTGCCGTGTAGCAAGTCCATCTTGGGGGCGCCGCGGAGGCTAGGAGATGTTAACTACCTCGCCGGGGTATACAGGAGGTCGATGGGTGCCTTCCCAAACCCTCCGACGCCCGCTTGTATATTTAAAGTTTTTGCGCGTCTCTCCGTCTCTCTCCGTGGTGGTCAAGTGGATTGGGCACCACGGTGGCTAGGAGGTGTTAACTACCTCGCCTGGGTATACGGGAGGTCGTGGGTTGCGATCTCAAACCCCCCAATGCAAGCTGTATATTTGGAGTTTTAGTGCGTCTCTCTGGGGGGTCGGCGGGGGCAAACACCGAGGAGAGCGGAGAGGCAGGGAAGGGAGGGCGGTGTAAAATATTAAATAATAATAGATTATGAAATTTTATAATTATAAAATAAATCCCAAAAATGTAAATGATGAAAAATAAAACAAATTATTGTCACATTTTTTTATTATGAAAAAAATATTATACAAAAATTTACATTATAAAAAAAATACAATGATAGAAAAAGAAATATAGATAATATTAAAAGACAATGATCAAATATATCATTTGTCGAAAATTAATTATAAAAAAAAGATTGTAATTTTTATAAAAACATAATTATGAAAACAAAAAAATTCTAATTAAAAAAAGTACGCAAAATAATTGTTTCTAAAATTATTAAATATATATGTAATAGTAGGTGGCAAACGGGGAAGGGTTGTGCACAAGAAAGCGGCGAAGCAGAATCTTGCGCAACCCCACACTCGGCGAAAGGGGCTGGAGAGAGGTAGAGAGGCAACGCGGTTCGTAACGGCGGCGCCGTGAAGAGAGCTGGAAGGCAGCCAGGGCAGCTGTCACTCACGACGGCCGCCACCCCTTGCACGTGAAAGCACACGGAGCCAACCGTGCTAATGGCAGGTGCCGGGGGAAGGACAACAAACTGTCGGTCTCTGCTGTGTGAGTCTATGGGTTTCTGCTGTGTGTGTGTATGGGTCTCTGCTGTGTGAGTCTGTGCGTCTCTGTGTGAGTCTATGGTTCTCTGCTGTGTGAGTCTATGGGTTTCTGCTGTGTGTGTCTATGCGTCTCTGCTGTGTGAGTCTGTGCGTCTCTGTGTGAGTCTATGGGTCTCTGCTGTGTGAGTCTATGGGTCTCTGCTGTGTGAGTCTATGGGTCTCTGCTGTGTGTGTCTATGGGTCTCTGCTGTGTGAGTCTATGGGTCTCTGCTGTGTGTGTCTATGGTTCTCTGCTGTGTGAGTCTATGGGTCTCTGCTGTGTGAGTCTATGGGTCTCTGTTGTGTGTGTCTATGGGCCTGCTGTGTGAGTCTATGGGTCTCTGCCATGTGAGTCTATGGGTCTCTGCTGTGTGAGTCTAAGGGTCTCTGTGTGAGTCTGTGCGTCTCTGTGCGAGTCTATGGATCTGTGTGCGAGTCTATGGGTCTCTAAGTCAGTCTATGGGTCTCTGTGTGAGTCTATGGGTCTCTGTGTGAGTCTGTGCGTCTCTGTGTGAGTCTATAGGTATGTGTGTGAGTCTGTGCGTCTCTGTGTGAGTCTGTGCGTCTCTGTGTGAGTCTATGGATCTGTGTGCGAGTCTATGGGTCTCTAAGTTAGTCTATGGGTCTCTGTGTGAGTCTATGGGTCTCTGTGTGAGTCTGTGTGCTCTGCTGTGTGAGTCTATGGGTCTATGTGTGAGTCTATGGGTCTCTGTGTGAGTCTGTGCGTCTCTGTGTGAGCCTATGGGTCTCTACTGTGTGAGTCTATAGGTATGTGTGTGAGTCTATGGGTCTCTCAGTTAGACTATGGGTCTCGGTGTGAGTCTATGGGTCTCTGCTGTGTGAGTCTATGGGTCTCTACTGTGTGAGTCTATGGGTCTCTGTGTGAGTCTGTGCGTCTCTGTGTGAGCCTATGGGTCTCTACTGTGTGAGTCTATAGGTATGTGTGAGTCTATGGGTCTCTAAGTTAGTCTATGGGTCTCTGTGTGAGTCTATGGGTCTCTGTGTGAGTCTGTGTGCTCTGCTGTGTGAGTCTATGGGTCTATGTGTGAGTCTATGGGTCTCTGTGTGAGTCTGTGCGTCTCTGTGTCTCTGTGTGAATCTATGGGTCTCTGCTGTGTGAGTCTATGGGTCTCTGCTGTGTGAGTCTATGGGTCTCTACTGTGTGAGTCTATGGGTCTCTGTGTGAGTCTGTGCGTCTCTGTGTGAGCCTATGGGTCTCTACTGTGTGAGTCTATAGGTATGTGTGTGAGTCTATGGGTCTCTCAGTTAGACTATGGGTCTCGGTGTGAGTCTATGGGTCTCTGTGTGAGTCTATGTGCTCTGCTGTGTGAGTCTATAGGTCTCTGTGTGAGTCTATGCGTCTCTGTGTGAGTCTATGGGTCTCTACTGTGTGAGTCTATGGGTCTCTATGTGAGTCTGTATGGGTCTCTGCTGTGTGAGTCTATGGGTCTCTGCTGTGTGAGTCTATGGGTCTCTGGTGTTTGAGTCTATCGGTCTCTGTGTGAGTCTATGGGTCTCTGCCGTGTGAGTCTATGGGTCTCTGCCGTGTGAGTCTATGGGTCTCTGCCGTGTGAGTCTATGGGTCTCTGCCGTTTGAGTCTATCGGTCTCTGTGTGAGTCTACGGGTCTCTGCTGTGTGAGTCTATGGGTCTCTGCTGTGTGAGTCCATGGGTCTCTGCTGTGTGAGGTGTGAGTCTATACGACAAATCGCTAACCTCAAACACCCGGTCGTTCGTAAAAGCTGAAGGCGGTATAGTACTCTAGTAATAGAGCAAGTGCAGAATCACCGGACCTGAATTGATAACCTGAAAGCATTGAGCTTTCAAGTTATCAAAAATTGCGGGGCCCCCGTAGCTACTACACATGTAGCTACGTGTGCTACTGGAACGTGCTGTAGTCGGGCACTGCACCTGGTGTCTGGAAGTTGATGCGTCTCAGCTCCACGGGGTCCGTCGGCTGCTGAGCGGCGGCCGCGTTCTCCTTCCCGAACGCCTCGGCAGCACCGGCGCCGCCGCCGCCGCTGCCCGCGGGCGCCGCCGTCCCGCCGGGCCCGGCGCCGGCGCCACCCCCGCCGGAGGATCCTCGGCCCGCCGGCCGCGCGTCTCCCAGCAGGATGGGCTTGGTGGGGTCCGAGTCGCTGCGCTTCCTGTTGGGGGGCGGGTGGGGGAGGTGCGGAGCGGCACGGTGGGGACCGGGAGGTGAAACTGCGGTTGCCAAGGCAAGTAACAAAGACAATGTTCCCCCCCACGTAGCCTGAACAGACTGTTGGGGGGGGGGGGGCAGGGCCGTTAGTAGCGAGTCGTAGCGCCTGTGAAGGCCCGGCACTGTGGGTACACGAGGGGGTGGGGTGGCCAGCACCGCGCCCGCCCTGGCCGACCTTGTCTCCCCAGTGGCGATGTTTTTACACACCGCATAAAGGTACTAATATTCGAGGCAGAGTCGACCTAGGGGAGGCCCAGGATCGGTTCAGATATTCGTCGCTGGTGTTGGCCGTGAGCGGGGAATCGAACGCGAGTCATAGATAGGTTCGTAGCGCGGCGCGGCGGCGACCGCTACTCCACCGCTCCCCACACTGTCACCAGGGTCCACTCACACACCGGACGTAGCCAACCGTGCTAATCGGAGGTGCGGGGGTGGGGAAGGACAACAAACTATGGGTCTCTGTGTGAGTCTGTGGGTCTCTGTGTGAGTCTATGGGTCTCTGCGTGAGTCTGTGGGTCTCTGCGTGAGTCTGTGGGTCTCTGTGTGAGTCTGTGGGTCTCTGCGTGAGTCTGTGGGTCTCTGCGTGAGTCTGTGGGTCTCTGCGTGAGTCTGTGGGTCTCTGCGTGAATCTGTGGGTCTCTGCGTGAGTCTGTGGGTCTCTGCGTGAGTCTGTGGGTCTCTGCGTGAGTCTGTGGGTCTCTGCGTGAATCTGTGGGTCTCTGCGTGAGTCTGTGGGTCTCTGCGTGAGTCTGTGGGTCTCTGCGTGAGTCTGTGGGGTCTCTGCGTGAATCTGTGGGTCTCTGCGTGAGTCTGTGGGTCTCTGCGTGAGTCTGTGGGTCTCTGCGTGAATCTGTGGGTCTCTGCGTGAGTCTGTGGGTCTCTGCGTGAGTCTGTGGGTCTCTGCGTGAGTCTGTGGGTCTCTGCGTGAGTCTGTGGGTCTCTGCGTGAGTTTCGCCTTTAGCAGTCTACTGGGGCAAATGCGCACGCACGCGTATGTACGTGCCCTTCGTAGGTGCTCCCTAACAGCACTTGCCCCAACAGTCTGTTAATGCTACACGGGGGATCTTTGTCTTTGGTCTGTGTGTGTGGGGAGCGGTGGTGCAGCGGCTGGCACTACCAACCCGGCTATGACCAGAATTCGATTCCCGTTCTCGGCCAATGCCAAACGGTGAAAAGTATCTGAACCGGTCCTGGGCCTACTCCTAGATCGACTCAGCCTCAAGTTATTACCTGGTGCGGTGCGTAAACATTGCCACTCGGGAGACAAAGGCGGCCGGGCGTGGTGATGGCCACTCGCCTCCTCGTGTGCCATGCCGGCCTTCATAAGTTATCGCTAATAGTACTTGCACCGACGGTCTATTGAAGGCTATACGGGGGATCTTTGTCTTTGTCAGAATGAGAATATGTATTTATCCCGGAGAAACCCGATGAGCTATGAAGCTCTTTTTCACAAACGTCCAGTAGGGATGGGTCAGAAAGTTACAACAATAATTAATACAGGAAAGGTAAGAAAATCACTATAAATAAACTAAAACTAAACAATGTTTTTATTTTAGCAGGTAAGGCCCCACTGAGCTACGTCGCTCATTTCCAGAAGCGACCCTGGCTTATCACAATCGATAGCTCAACGAAAGTCACTTCTCATCATCACGTGGTAATGTATAGCAGCAGCCAAATAATCTGAAAGCGTAGAGATGCATAGAGACCCATAGAGAAACACAGAGACTCATGGAAATATATACTCACTCTCAGAGATACATAGAGACCCATAGAGATACATAGAGACCCATAGCGATACACAAAGACCCTTAGAGATGCATAGATACCCATAGAGATACATATATACCCATTGACTAAATGAAACAATTTTTATTTTACCAGATAAGGCCCCATTGAGCTACGTAGCTCTTTTTCCAGAAGCGACCCTGACCATCACAAACGACAGCTCAACTAAGTGGCTTAGAGACCCATAGAAACCCACAGAGACACATAGAGATCCACAGAAAGTCATACAGATCCATAGAGATACATATAGACCCACAAAACTAAATTGCAACTTCATCAGGGTAGGCGAGGCTGCGTCGCGTGAAGGTGTTCCGCTGTAAGCGAGTGGGGCAAATTAAAACGGCCGTTAGCGAGAATATTGCACGGGGACTACTCGAAGAGAGACAGCGAGAGAGAGAGGGAGCGAGAGAGAGAGGGAGCGAGAGAGAGGAGGAGGGGTGGGTGGGTTGGGGGAAACGGCTGGCCCTGGATTGGTTCGGTTTGCTGTTTGTTGTTGTTGATGTTGTTGCTTTTCGAAAAATGGTTATTCGCTGTCGACCGGCTGTGACTGTTGGGGTTTTACTCCTTCCACGGGTTTCAGATGTTGACGTTTTCAGGCACTTTTAGAGAGGACGCGGCCAATTGTTACCGCGCCTGTGGAGGAAGAGGCCCTTCCGCCAATCAAAAGCACCCCCGAATTGAGGGCTCTGCGGTGTCTAGGCGATGTTGACTACCTCGCATGGTATACAGGAGGTCGTGGGTTCGATCCCGACCATGACGATGCCCGTACCGCATATTTAGAGATGGCGTCTCTCTTTCTCATCATCATCACAGTGGCTAGGAGATATCAACTACCTCGCCTGGTATACAGGAGGTCGTGGATTCGATCCTGACCGTGACGCCCGCTGTATATTTGGAGTTTGCGTGCCTCCGTCGCTGCCTGTGGTTGCTGCTATGAATTGCCACGCGATGGTGGTAAGCCACTTCGTTGGGTGACGCTTTGTGATAAGCCAGGGTCGCTCCTGAAAAACAGCGATGTAGCTGAGTGGGCCTTACCTGGTAAAATAAAAAAAGTAAGATTTAGCTTAAAGATGCGTGAGGAATTTGTCAAACCGTTCCCGCTAACCGCTGCTCCACCACTCCCCGCCAACGCCCGCCTCTGCCTTTGAGTGCAACAAGACGAGCACGCACAAAGACAAAGATCCCCCCTATAGCATGTAAGCAGACTGTCGGGGGCAAGTGCAGTTAGCGAGTGAAGGCCGGAACAGCTCACGAGGGGGTTGGGTGGCCACCACCACGCCCGGACGCCTTTGTCGTTTGCTGCACACCGCACCGGGTACTCATTTGAGGCCGAGTCGACCTAGGGAAGGCCCAGTACCGGTTCAGATCATCGTCGGCGGTGTCGGTGGCGGTGAGCGGGAATCGAACTGGGCTCCCTGCCGGGTTCTTAGCGCAGCGCCCTAACAGCTGCGCCACCGCTGCCCTGCCCGCTACCTACCCCGTCGAGCACACAGCGCACGCACGAGCAGCAACAACAGCTTCGCGGGCCGCGAAACCCACTCCGTGGTCACGAACCACAACCCGCACAAATCAGCGCGCCGCTCGCCACCGCGCAACTGCACCCGTGGCGCTGGCAGTGGTAGTGAGGAGGGTGGCAGCGGTAGCGAGGAGGAGGGTGGCAGTGGTAGCGAGGAGGGTGGCAGTGGTAGTGAGGAGGGTGGCAGTGGTAGTGAGGAGGGTGGCAGTGGCAGTGAGGAGGGTGGCAGTGGTAGTGAGGAGGGTGGCAGTGAGGAGGGTGGCAGTGGTAGTGAGGAGGGTGGCAGTGGTAGTGAGGAGGGTGGCAGTGAGGAGGGTGGCAGTGAGGAGGGTGGCAGCGGTAGTGAGGAGAGTGGCAGCGGTAGTGAGGAGGGTGGCAGTGGTAGTGAGGAGGGTGGCAGTGAGGAGGGTGGCAGTGGTAGTGAGGAGGGTGGCAGTGAGGAGGGTGGCAGCGGTAGTGAGGAGGGTGGCAGTGAGGAGGGTGGCAGCGGTAGTGAGGAGGGTGGCAGTGAGGAGGGTGGCAGTGGTAGTGAGGAGGGTGGCAGTGAGGAGGGTGGCAGTGGTAGTGAGGAGGGTGGCAGCGGTAGTGAGGAGGGTGGCAGTGGTAGTGAGGAGGAGGGTGGCAGTGGTAGTGAGGAGGGTGGCAGTGGTAGTGAGGAGGAGGGTGGCAGTGGTAGTGAGGAGGGTGGCAGTGGTAGTGAGGAGGAGGGTGGCAGTGGTAGTGAGGAGGGTGGCAGTGGTAGTGAGGAGGGTGGCAGTGGTAGTGAGGAGGAGGGTGGCAGTGGTAGTGAGGAGGGTGGCAGTGAGGAGGGTGGCAGTGGTAGCGAGGAGGGTGGCAGTGGTAGTGAGGAGGGTGGCAGTGGTAGTGAGGAGGAGGGTGGCAGTGGTAGTGAGGAGGGTGGCAGTGAGGAGGGTGGCAGTGAGGAGGGTGACAGTGGTAGTGAGGAGGAGGGTGACAGTGGTAGTGAGGAGGGTGGCAGTGGTAGTGAGGAGGGCGCCGGCGGTAGCGAGGAGGAGGGTGGCAGCAGCTCACGCACGGCAGCCACATTTGCATAACCATCAGCTCTCGCTAATGGCCGCGCATGATCACCGTCTTTCTAACGAGCGCCACGACACGGCCCGCTGGGGAGTGATGGCGGTGGGGGAGGGTGGAGACGCAACCGGCGCGCTCGCGAGAGGGGGGGAGAGCGAGCGGCGACGTCCTTCACGGCGCTGTCACCGCCATCGCCACAACCGCCACCATCGCTACCGCCACTGCCACCACCGCCTCCACCACCACCGCCATCGCCACAACCGCCACCACCGCTACCGCCACTGCCACCACCGCTTCCACCACCACCGCCACCGCCTCCACCACTACCGACACTGCCACCACCGCCTCCACCACTACCGACACTGCCACCACCGCCACCGCCTCCACCGCCTCCACTGCCACCACCGTCACCACCATTGGTGACGGTGGAGGACAAGGAGCTATGGGTCTCTTCTGTGTGAGTCTATGGGTCTCGATGCGAGTCTATGGATCTCTGTGCGAGTCTATATAGGTAGGTATGGTTGAACTTCTTTCACACCGTACGCAGCCGACCGCGCGAATCCGAGGTGCGTGGGGCAGAGGACAACAAACTAAAACACAAAAAGCAGTTCTGAAGAAATCCGTTTCCAATCAAGATGATTTAAAAGCGCCTCGCTCCAGTGGCTCTCTAATGAGGAACAGAGAGCCCTCCAAAGGCGGTCACCGCGATGCGATGCGGTGACCGGGGCTTCAGCAGAGAGAGAGAGGAGAGTTCGTGTGGTTCCGCTCCTCCTCCTCCTCCTCCGACGGCAGGAGGACGTGAGCGACGCGACGAGCCGTCGGTTAAAAATCGATCGCGCGGAGCGCTAGATAAATCACGCGGGCGTTCCCCCGCGTGCGAGAAAAAGAAAACCACATTGCTAACGGCCGCGGCGTTTAGACTTTAGACTAACGGGGCGTCTACAGCTGGCACGCGAGAGAAGGCGAGGCAGATCGAGAAGACGGGAAGTGGTGATGATTTTTTTTTTGCTTCTTGAATTGAAACACGACGCAGAATTGTGAAAAGAATTCGTGAAATCGGAGGGGTGTAGGTGGGTGGGGGGGGGGGTGGCGGGCGCCGGCGGGGTGAAATGTTACAAACCTCTAATTGGTTGTCTCGTCCACCCAGGAGGTCGTGTAGGTTCGATCCCGGCCCTGACGATGCCTGCTGCTGCTGTATATTTGGAGTCTGCGTGTCTCTCTCTCTCTCTCTCATCATCATCACGGTGGCTAGGATATGTTGACTACCTCGCCTGGTATACAGGAGGTCGTGGGTTCAATCCCTACCCTGACGCCTGCTGCTGTATAGTTGGGAGTTTGCGTGTTCTCCCCGTGGCCCTCCGGTTTTTCCCCTTCACATTAATAATCAGCATCACACGTTTCGAGTATTTTGCTGCTACACATTTCCACGCGATGACAATAAGCCCACTTCGTTGGGCTATCATTTGTGGTGGCCAGGTCGCTTCTGAAAAAGAGCTACACAGCTCAGTGGGGGTCCTGAACCGGTAAAGGGGGGGGGGAAGGGAAGGGAGGGGGGGAAATTCCACATTCCTACGCCGAGGACCGTTCGAGCCCGAGAAACGCAGCCAGAGGCTTACCGACGCAACAAGCAAATCCGTTGAGCGACGTCGCTGAGGAGCAGACGTGTAGACTGAATCGCCACCGAGGGTACGGCCGCGATGCGCTCCACGCTAACCCTTCGCCGGGTGTTTGCTAACCACGTGGGTTCACACGTGCGACCCCGCGGGGCGTTGATTTTTCATTGGTCGCGCGCGAGCGCGGGCCTCTCTCGCGTGAACCGCTCCCTCGCTGCTGCTGCTGCTGCTGCCGTACACCGGCGTCTCAAGCGCGATTCGTTTGGTCCACGGATCATTTCATGGATGTGTGGGAGCGGGGGGAGCGGGGGGAGCGGGGGGGGGGGCGCGGGGGGCGTTCCCTTGAGGGTCACGGTCCTCACTTCGATCGTCGCCCGCCGACTGAAGCGAGCAAATTTGCCGGACATGCCAAGCTATACTGTTCAAAAAGTAAACAATTTTTATTTGAGCAGGTTAACGTCCCACTGAGTTATTGGAGCTCTTTTTCACGAGCCACCTGGCTATCACAAATGATTGCTCAACGGAGTGGGCTTATCATCGTAATCATCATCACGTGGAAATGCATAGCAGGAGCCAAATAATCTCTAAGCGCAGTGACGTGGATTCTAAATGCGGAGGGGATAAAAACCGGGGGACCGAGAGAAAGAGAGACCCTCCAAATGTACAGCAGGCGTCAGGGCTGGGATCGAACCCACGAACCTCCCGCGTGCCAGGCGAGGTAGTCCACATCTGCGGTGGGGTGGTGGAAGGGCTTCACGCGCGACAACACAAACTGACACGGACGACGACACCGCCGCACATTGTCGTAGGCCGAGGCCGTCGAACCTCCCCCACTACCCCCCCCCTCCCCATCCCACAACCATCACCACTCATCACCCGTGGAGGAAGGGGCGTTGATAAACAGCGAAGGGTAATTACGGAAGGACACCCCCCCCCGCCGCCCCCGTCCTTTTAAGAATGTTCCTCTCGAGCGGGGGGGGGGGGAGATGGGAGGGTGGTGTCGATGATTGTGACGCATCGATTGAGCGAAAGTGCCCACCTGTCCGGCTTGCTGTCACGGGCACGCGGCGGTGACGGTGACGACCACGGGAGCCATCGGGAGCCATCGTCGTCGTACCGGGAGGGAGGGAGGGAGGGTGGGGAGGGGGAGGATGAGGAGGTGGTGGAGGGAGGGAGATGGAGAGAGGGAGATGGAGGTGCGGGAGGAGGTGGTGGAGATGGTGGTCGGAGGTTGGGAGATGGAAGGAGATGGAGGATGAGGAGCAGGAGGAGGTGGAGGGAGGGAGATGGAGAGAGGGAGATGGAGGTGCGGGAGGAGGTGGTGGAGATGGTGGTGGGAGGGAGGGAGATGGAAGGAGATGGAGGATGAGGAGCAGGAGCAGGTGGAGGGAGGGAGATGGAGAGAGGATGATGGAGGTGCGGGAGGAGGTGGTGGAGATGGTGGTGGGAGGGAGGGAGGGAGGCGAAGGGGAGACACAAAAACAAAAGGGAGAGCGGAGATCATCGGAGATCGATGGCGGCTTTTAGAACGACAGCATCCTTCGCTCCCGACTCGCGCGATCCTTCTCTTCTTCCGGACGGCGGCCGATGACGGAGGTGCGGAGCAAACAACGAACACTTTCACATTGCTGGTGGGTCCGAGCAACAGGTAACCAACCGCCAGACGTCACGTGACGATGCAATGGGCCCCGAACCACACAACAACAACAACAAACGAAGGAGGCATCGCGGCGGCGGCGGCGATGACGACGACGACGATACACCGCTACTCACGCGCTGATTCTGCCGTGACTCGAAACCCGCAGAAAAAAACACGCACGCTGTGTTAGTATCTTAAGCACCGCGCAACTCGGCGTGTGTTCATGTATTCACTGCGTGCGCGTGTTAGTATGTTCACATGTTACATTAGCGACAACAACAACAGCCGCCATTCGACACTAAAGTGACGGTGACGTCACCACGGCGCTTGTGCCAGGCCATGTGCACGTTAAGGCCGAGTGCGAGGGGCTGGTTGTTTACCACTAAACCACGTGAAAAAAAACTGTATACAGTGAGGGAAAAAAGTATTTGATCCCCTGCTGATTTTGTACGTTTGCCCACTGACAAAGAAATGATCAGTTTATAATTTTAATGGTAGGTTTATTTGAACAGTGAGAGACAGAATAACAACAACAAAATCTAGAAAAACGCATGTCAAAAATGTTATAAATTGATTTGCATTTTAATGAGGGAAATAAGTATTTGACACCCTCTCAATCAGAAAGATTTCTGGCTCCCAGGTGTCTTTTATACAGGTAACGAGCTGAGATTAGGAGCACACTCTTAAAGGGAGTGCTCCTAATCTCAGCTTGTTACCTGTATAAAAGACACCTGTCCACAGAAGCAATCAATCAGATTCCAAACTCTCCACCATGGCCAAGACCAAAGAGCTCTCCAAGGATGTCAGGGACAAGATTGTAGACCTACACAAGGCTGGAATGGGCTACAATACCATTGCCAAGCAGCTTGGTGAGAAGTTAACAACAGTTGGTGCGATTATTCGCAAATGGAAGAAACACAAAAGAACTGTCAATCTCCCTCGGCTTGGGGCTCCATGAAAGATGTCACCTCGTGGAGTTGCAATGATCATGAGAACGGTGAGGAATCAGCCCAGAACTACACGGGAGGATCTTGTCAATGATCTCAAGGCAGCTGGGACCATAGTCACCAAAAAAACAATTGGTAACACACTACGCCGTGAAAGACTGAAATCCTTCAGCGCCCGCAAGGTCCCCCTGCTCAAAAAAACACATATACACGCCCGTCTAAAGTTTGCCAATGAACATCTGAATGATTCAGAGGACAACTGAGTGAAAGTGTTGTGGTCAGATGCGACCAAAATGGAGCTCTTTGGCATCAACTCAACTCGCCGTGTTTGGAGGAGGAGGAATGCTGCCTATGACCCCAAGAACACCATCCCCACCATCAAACATGGAGGTGGAAACATTATGCTTTGGGGGTGTTTTTCTGCTAAGGGGACAGGACAACTTCACCGCATCAAAGGGACGATGGATGGGGCCATGTACCGTCAAATCTAGGGTGAGAACCTCCTTCCCTCAGCCAGGGCATTGAAAATGGGTCGTGGATGGGTATTCCAGCATGACAACGAACCAAAACACACGGCCAAGGCAACAAAGGAGTGGCTCAAGAAGAAGCACATTAAGGTCCTGGAGTGGCCTAGCCAGTCTCCAGACCTTAATCCCATAGAAAATCTGTGGAGGGAGCTGAAGATCGAGTTGCCAAACGTCAGCCTCGAAACCTTAATGACTTGGAGAAGATCTGCAAAGACGAGTGGGACAAAATCCCTCCTGAGATGTGTGCAAACCTGGTGGACAACTACAAGAAACGTCTGACCTCTGTGATTGCCAACAAGGGTTTTTCCACCAAGTACTAAGTCATGTTGTGCAGAGGGGTCAAATACTTATTTCCCTCATTAAAATGCTAATCAATTTATACCATTTTTGACATGCGTTTTTCTGGATTTTGTTGTTGTTATTCTGTCTCTCACTGTTCAAATAAACCTACCATTAAAATTATAGACTGATCATTTCTTTGTAAGTGGGCAAACGTACAAAATCAGCAGGGGATCAAATACTTTTTTCCCTCACTGTATATACAAACACACACACATAAAACACCTCTGTGTGTGTGCACGCCTTCATGTGTGTTAATATATTAACCGTTTTCGTGTTAATATGTGAAAATATTATATTAACACGCGGACACATCTCTGAGTGTGGGTGTGTGTGTGTGCACACCTCTGCGTGTGTTAATGTATTGACTGTGTGTATTAATAGACGTGACTATATTATATTACGTGTGTGTGCTCCCTAACTGTACATGCCCTAACAGTCTGTCAAAGGCTACATGGGTGGGATCTTTGCCTTTTTCTTTAGCGGGGAGCGGCGGTGCAGCGGTTAGCGCTACGCAGCCCGGCGACCCGAGTTCGATTCCCGCTGACGGCGAATAACGGTGGCGATTCTTGAACCGATCCTGGGCCCTTCCCCTAGGTCGACTCAGCCTCAAAAGAGTATCTGGTGCGGATGTGTAAACGTCGCCACTGGGGAGACAAAGGCGGCCGGGCGTGGTGCTGGCCACCCACCCCCTCGTGTGCCGTGCCGGCCTTCATAGGTGCTCGCTAACAGCACTTGCCCCAACTGTCCGCTGAGGCTATATGGGGGATTGTTCATCTGTGTCTGCACGTACATGCGTGCGAGTGTGTGTGTGCATGTGTATGTGTATTTGGTGTGTGCTTGTGCGTGATGGCGATGATGACAATGGTGATGACGACGAAGAAGATGACCACGATGACGACGGCGATGATGAGTGGTGGTGGCGGCGATGATGACGATGATGAGTGGTGGTGATGATCATGACGATGACGACGATGATCATGACGATGAAGGCGATGATGATGGCGACGATGCGTGTGCGCGCGCCCGCCCGCCCGCCCGCCCGCCACCTCTTGTAGAGGAGGATGGCGATGACGACGCAGATGATGAAGATGACGGCCAGCACGGGCCCCACCACCCACAGCAGCCCCTCCTCCTCCTCCGAGATGGGCAGCGGCTCCGGCTCGGGGGACACCACGGGCTCTGAGTAGCCGCTCACCGCCCACATGCGCTGTGGCACGCGCACACACACACACGTGCACACACACGCAAACACACACACACACACGTGCACACACACACACACACGCGCGCACACACACGCGTGCACACACACGTGCACACACACGCAAAGACAAAGCTCACCCGTATAGCCTGAACAGACTGTTGGGGGCAAGTGCTGTTAGCGAGCAGCACCTATGAAGGCCGGCACGCTGGCACACGAGGGGGTGGGTGGCCAGCACCACGCCCGGCCGTCTTTGTCTCCCCAAGTGGCGATGTTTACGCACCGCACCAGGTACTCATTTGAGGCCGAGTCGACCTCAGGGGAGGAGACCCGCGCCCGGCCACCGCCGCCGCCGCCACCACCACGTGACGAAAAATCCGCTCCGGTCTCTTGACGAGCGGCGAAACGGCCTTTTTGTGTTCGACAGCGGACCGCGGAAGCAGACGTCATGGAGCTACCTCTGAGAAGTCGCCCGTCACGGCGCCGCGATGTTTTAATGGGGGGGGGGGGGGGGTTTGGGACACGTGACCGAGAGGAGCGACCCGCAACCCTGCCCCGACCGCGGAGATGGAGCAACGAAATCACCTGGGGCGCAGGTGCCGGGGAGGGTTGGCGGATCCGTCGTTATGGGAGAAATACCGCTTCCCAAGCGAGAATTAACGCGAGAGACGCTTTAATAAAAGCAGAGGAGGAGGAGGAGGAGGGGATTTTGACATTTAAAAAAATAGACAAACGTAATTCCTCACTGGTCAAATAGCACACATCGCGTTTTCATTCGGCACAAACCGAAGCATCAGAAAAATTAAAATGAATGCCCCAATATTCTCTGTGCCATCAGCAGCAGTCGCCGTGGCCGCTCCCGAGACTCCCGCCGAAGCCGTCAGCCGACAGCTCGGCGCGGCCTGGAAGAACGACCAGAAAGGTTTTTCCTCGCCAGACGAAACCCCCCGCCCCCCCCTGCTAAACGAAACGATTTTTATTTTACCAGGTAACAGGCCCCGCGGAGCTGTGCAGCTATTCTTCAGTTAGCGACACTGTCCCGTCACGAATGATGATGTGCTCAACAAAAACGGGGGCTTATCGTCGTGAGTGGAAATGTATTGCAGCAGCAAAAAGAGTCTCAACGCGTGACGTTGACTCTGAAATGCGGAGGGTAAAATCGGAGGACCCCGAGAAAAATCCACGCGACCACGCGCAGAGAGAGAGAGACACACACACCGCAAACTCCAATTATACAGCAGGCGCTCAGGGGTCAGGATCAAACCCACGACCTCCTGCACACCAGGCGAGGTAGTTAACATCTCCTAGCCACCAAGTCCACTCCGCTGGCGCTTCTCCTCGACCGCTGTCGTTCCACGGCGCCGGTGCCAATCGTGCCGGGCTCGACCCGCCGCGGCGAAGCGACCCCCGAGCAGCACCCACAGAGGGCGGTCGGGAGGGCCGGCGGTGGGGGCCAGCGGCCGTCCGCCGACGCGCTTCCCGCTAGCCACCGATGGAGATGGCGGGTGGCGAGGGGGGGGGAGGGTGGCGTGGGCGGCAGGGAGGGGCAGGGGTGGGGCGGTGGGGGGGAAGGGTACGGGTGGGGGGGGGGCGCGGGGATCGGCACACGACGGCCGCCACTCACGGCGTCGCGGGAGCCAATGGCCGCCATGGCGAAGAAGGTGAAGGCGCGGCCCTCCTGCAGCGGGCGGTTGGCGTGGCCGCCCAGGCGGGCGCCGTCGCCCACCACGAAGCCGCCGGCGCCGGCGGAGGGCGGCGGCGGCGGCCCCCCGTCCCAGCGCGCCGTCACGTACGCCGCGGCTCCACCGCCGGCCGCGTCCGCCGCGGCACCCCGAGGAGTCGCCCGTCGACGACGACGGCGCCGGCGCCGGCCGCCGGGCGTCGTCTCCTCCATCAGCTGGGGAGTGGGGGTGGGGGGGGCAGGGAGATGCCGGCAGTGATAGGGGGGTTGGTGTTGGCGTGGTGGCGGTGGTCATGGTGATGACAATGGTAGTTGTGGTGGTGGTGGTGATGACAATGGTAGTTGTGGTGGTGGTGGTGACAATGGTAGTTGTGGTGGTGGTGATGACATTGGTAGTTGTGGTGGTGGTGACGACATTGGTAGTTGTGGTGGTGGTGACGACAATGGTAGTTGTGGTGGTGGTGACGACAATGGTAGTTGTGGTGGTGGTGGTGACGACAATGGTAGTTGTGGTGGTGGTGACGACAATGGTAGTCGTGGTGGTGGTGACGACAATGGTAGTTGTGGTGGTGGTGGTGACGACAATGGTAGTTGTGGTGGTGGTGGTGACGACAATGGTAGTTGTGGTGGTGGTGACGACAATGGTAGTTGTGGTGGTGGTGACGACAATGGTAGTTGTGGTGGTGGTGGTGACGACAATGGTAGTTGTGGTGGTGGTGACGACAATGGTAGTTGTGGTGGTGGTGACGACAATGGTAGTTGTGGTGGTGGTGGTGACGACAATGGTAGTTGTGGTGGTGGTGACAACAATGGTAGTTGTGGTGGTGACAACAATGGTAGTTGTGGTGGTGGTGACGACAATGGTAGTTGTGGTGGTGGTGACGACGACAATGGTAGTTGTGGTGGTGGTGACGACAATGGTAGTTGTGGTGGTGGTGACAATGGTAGTTGTGGTGGTGGTGACGACAATGGTAGTTGTGGTGGTGGTGACGACAATGGTAGTTGTGGTGGTGGTGACAATGGTAGTTGTGGTGGTGGTGGTGATGACAATGGTAGTTGTGGTGGTGGTGATGACAATGGTAGTTGTAGTGGTGGTGATGACAATGGTAGTTGTGGTGGTGGTGGTGATGACAATGGTAGTTGTGGTGGTGACGACAATGGTAGTTGTGGTGGTGGTGGTGACGACGACAATGGTAGTTGTGGTGGTGGTGACAACAATGGTAGTTGTGGTGGTGACAACAATGGTAGTTGTGGTGGTGGTGACGACAATGGTAGTTGTGGTGGTGGTGACGACAATGGTAGTTGTCGTGGTGGTGGTGGTGGTGGAGACGCGGTGCCGTGGCGCCCCGCACCTGGTCCAGGTCCAGCTCTTCGGGACTTCCTGACGGCCGCAGGTAGCGTCCTTTCTGCCGCGCCAGCGGCACCACCACCAAGCAGTATGACCTGCGGCCACACGCAGCAACGCAACGACTCAGATCCCCCCCGGAGTCTTGGCAGAATGTTGGGGCGAGTGCTGTTGGCGAGTAGCAGCACCTACGAAGGCTGGGAGGGCACACGAGGGAGATGGTGGCCAGCGCCACGCCCGGCCGCCTTTGTCTCCCTAGCGGCGAATATTTACACACCGCACCAGGTGCACAGCACGCCACCACGCCATCACAACGCCCCTTCACCCACATACACTCCACCCACACCACCACACCTCTCCATCCACACCATCACCACACGCCTACACCCACACCACCACCCCCACCGGCCCCACATCCACTCTACCAACACCTCAATACCCACTCCACCCACACCACCACACCTCTCCACCCACACCACCACCACCACACCCACTCCACCCACGCCACCACACCCACACCACCACCCCCACCAGCCCCACATCCACTCTACCCACATCTCAATACCCACTCCACCAACACCACCACACCTCTCCACCCACACCACCACCACCACCACACCCACACCACCACACCCCTCCACCCACACCACCACCCCCACCAGCCCCACATCCACTCTACCCACACCCCAATACCCACTCCACCCACACCACCACACCCCTCCACCCACACCCACCACACCACAACCCCCACCAGCCCCACATCCACTCTCCCTACACTCCCCCACACCCAATCCACCCACACCACCACCATCACACCCACCACACCTCCCTCCCCCCCCACCCCCAACCACCACACCACCCACCGCAGCTGCACGCCGTCGGCAGGCTGCGGCAGGTCGAGGCTGATGGTGCCGTCGGCGGAGACGCGGCCCAGCGGCACGGGGCGAGCCCCCCTGAAGAGTTGGGGGGCCGTGCGGACCCCCACCTCCTGCTGCAGGGCCCCCGCGCTGTCGCCGCGGCTCGTCAGGCCCAGCCGGTACTCCGTGTCGGGCCGCAGGCCGCTCACGCGCTTGCGGCCCGACCAGCCGTCCACCTCAATCGCCTGCCCGTCGCTCGACACCACCTTGGTGGTGTCGAGCGACGGCGGGGGGGGGTGGGGTCATGGGTCATTGTGGGGGTTAAGGGGTCAGAGCGGGGGGCGGGGAGGGTTGTTAGAGAAGGTACAACGGTTGCCGTGGTTTTGGACTCGGCGGTGGCGAGATGTTATCTCCCTCGCCTGGTATGCGGGCGGTCGCGAGTGTATGGCGCGAGTGCGGTGCCCGCGTGTGCACGAGTGTGGAGTGTGAGTGTGTGTAGTGTGAGTGCGGGCCCACGTGTGCGAGTGTGAAGTGTGAGTGTGTGTAGTGTGAGTGCGGTGCCCGCGTGCGCACGAGTGTGGAGAGTGTGTGTAGTGCGAGTGTGAAGTGTGTGTGTAGTGTGAGTGTGGTGCCCGCATGTGCACGAGTGTGTGTGTGTGTAGTGTGAGTGCGGGCCCACGTGTGCGAGTGTGGAGTGTGTGTGTGTAGTGTGGTGCCCACGTGTGCACGAGTGTGGAGTGTGTGTAGTGCGAGTGTGGTGCCCACGTGTGCACGAGTGTAGAGTGTGTGTAGTGTGAGTGCGGTGCCCGCGTGTGCACGAGTGTGGAGTGTGTGTAGTGCGAGTGTGGAGTGTGTGTAGTACGAGTGTGGAGTGTGTGTAGTACGAGTGTGGAGTGTGTGTGTGTGTAGTGCGAGTGTGAAGTGTGTGTGTGTAGCGCTAGTGCGGTGCCCTCATGTGCGCCCGCGCCACCTTGAGCGGCTCGCTGGAGCTGTACGACGCCGGCGCTTCCCACACCAGCAGCACGGAGGTCTGCGTCACCGATTTGACGCGGAAATTTTTCACGAAAGCTGCTGGAGAGACGCAGACGTGGAGAGATGGGGGGGGGGGAGGCGGGGGGGGGGGGCAGCCCATGGGGGGGAGGGGGAGGCGGGCATCGACGGGGGGGTACGTGACAAACACACGCAGGTTAGCTCATCGCCAACCTCGCCATCGTCGTCGTCATCATCGCCATTACCGTTGTCATCGCCATCGTCGCCGTCATCGTCGTCATCATCATCGTCATCATCGCTATCATCGTCATCATAATCATCATTGTCGTCGTCATCGCCATCATCGTCATCATCGCCATCATCACCATCATCGCCGTCATCCTCGCCATCGTCGCCATCATCATTATCATCGTCATCATTGCCATCATCGTTATCACCATCGTCACCGCCATCATCATGGTCATCATCATCGCCGTCATCGTCATCATCGTCGTAGTCAATGTCACCATCGCCATCATCATAAAGTTCTCGCGATCGTCATTTGCCTTCACCGTCAACAACACCATCATAAAGTTGTCATCACCATCATCAATCGTCATCGCCGTTGTCATCATCGCCGTCGTCATCATCATAATTGTCATCATCATCAATCACCGTCAATCATTGTCATCATTGCCATCATTGCCATCATTGCCATCATCATAAAGTTAACATAACACCATCATAATCACCAACGCACAGGATACCTGCGACTAACATCGCTATCCCCACAATAACCATGACCACCATCACCACCACCACCATCATCATCATCGCCGAACGAATCTCGCGCCGAGCTGCCGGCTGGCGGTAGCGGGGTCACCGCACTGCCGGAGTTCGATGCAGGGCCACGGCCAACATCGGTCCCTTCCGAGAGTGTCACTGCGCGAGAGCGAGCGAGCGAGCGAGTCACGTGTCGCAGCGGGGCGGCGAGCGCTTCACGCCCGCACGCACAAAGACAAAGGTCGCCCTGTCGAGCCAAACAGCCGCGGTCAGGAATCAAACTCAGGTGGCAAGACTCGGAGCGCGGTGCGCTAAACCACCAATGCCGCCGCCACTCCCCTCCAACACGCACGCACGCCCGCGCGCACGCGCGCACACACGTCAACATGAATACACTCGCGCACAAAGGTCCCCCGTGTAGCCTGTAGCGGACTGTTGGGGGCGAGTGCTGCTAGCGAGTAGCAGCGCCTATGAAGGCCGGCAGGGCACGCGAAGGGGTGGGTGGTCAGCACCACGCCCGGGCGCCTTTGACTCCCCAGTGGCGAGTTTGACACACCGCACAAGGTGCTATTTAAAAACAAAAAAACTAAACAGAAAAAAATATTTTTTTACTTTACCAGGTAAGGCCCACTAAGCTATACAGCTCTTTTTCAGAAGCGACCTGGCCATCACAAATGACAACTCAACAAAGTGGCTCATCACGTGGACATTCATTGCAGCCAAATGCATGTGAACGCTTGTTTCTAAACGTGGTGGGAAAAACCGGAGGACCCGGGGAAAAATCCACGCGACCACAGGGCGAGAGAGCGAGACGCGCACACTCCAAATCTACAGCAGCAGCAGCAGCAGGTGTCAAGGTCGGGATCGAACCCACGACCTCCTGTATACCAGGCGAGGCAGTCAACATCTCCTAGCCACCGTGGCGCCTTTGAGACTGAGTCGACCCAGGGGTGGCACCAGGACCGGTTCAGATAATTCGTCACTGGGTGGCCGTGAGCGGGAATCGAACTCGGGTCGCAGCCGGGGTCGGTGGGCGCAGCGCGCCAACCGTTTGCGCCACCACTCCCCACACCGGCGCTGCATCCACACTAATATTACGCGTGTGCGAGTCGACCCGCACCAATATCCAACACGCGGCATTCGCAACTAAGTGACGGTGACGTCACCACGACGCCCGTGGCCAGGCCAGGTGCACTTTGAGGCCGCGTGAAGTGTCGAAGGCTCGTCGCTGGCACGAGGAGGAGGAGGTCTCGGGACAGACCCGGCGGGTGCCAGGGGTTGACGCGGGTGCACACAAGCGTGCGGACACACGCGCGCGCACAGGCACTTAATTGGATTTTTGACGACAGCAAAAAAAAAAAACGAACATCAAGTGAACGTGTTAGTGCGTAGACGAATGCTAATCCGTGCCCTCTGAAGCTGTTACCTTGGGGAGTGTGGAGTGGGGGGGAGGGGGACGCAAGGCATTGGTTGGCTTGAGTTGAAACTATTTGAAATTTGAAACTATTTGAACATTTTTTGAGCTAGGTAAGGCCCCCCCCCCCCCGAATGAGCTACGTAGCTCTTTCTCAGACGTGACCTGGCTATCACAAACGATAGCTCAACGAAGCGAGCTCATCATCATCATCGTCGTCGTCGTCGTCGCTACGTGAAAATTTATAGCAGCAGCCAAATACTCTGAAAGCATAGAGATGCAGGAGACCCATAGAGACACACAGAGACCCATAGAGATACATAGACACTCTATACTAGAGGAATCCGCTGAGCAATGAAGCTCCTTTTCACGGAGATACATATAGACCCACAGAGATGCATACAGACCCAAAGACTAAACTAAACTATATTTTTTATTGCAGCAGGTAAGGCCCTCTGAGCTACGCGGCTCTCTCTCAGAAGCGACCATGGCTATCACGAAATTATAGCTCACCGAAGTGGCTTATCATCATCATCGTCATCGCGCAGACATTTATAGGCAGTAGCCAAACATTTCTAACCGCGTGAAGTTGATTCTTCATGCAGAGAAAAAAAACCGGAAGACTCGGAGAAAAATCCACGCGACCACGGAGAGAATATTGAGACGGGTCTACCCAGGTGAGGTGGTTAGCATCTCCTAGCCACCGTGGTGCCCAATCCACACGACCACCACGGGGAGAGAGACACCGTAAACTACAAATATACAGCAGCAGCAGCAGGCGTCGTCAGGGTTGGGATGGAACCCGCGACCTCCCGCACACCAGGCGAGGTAGTCAACATCTCCCAGCGACCGTGGCGCCCAAATCACCGTGGCGCAACCCTCGCCACCGCGGAGGGATGAGCCGAGGCCCTGCAGGTCAGATCGCGAGCACCGTTTTATTTGCGCGAGCCCCTTCAACGTCAGCCGCGCTAACCGGCCCACTCCCAGACAGGCCCTCCCCCCCTCTCCCCGCGAGCCCCCAAGGCAAGGGGGTACATTTCGGTCGGGGGGGTGGGTGGGGGTTAAACGGAGTTTGCGTTGCCTGGAGAAATGGCCTATAACGACAAGTGACATTTGGAAGTGATAAGCAACGGAGAAAGGTTATATACCGCTATACCGCATGAATTCCGCTTTTATTGGCCAATATCGGGGAATGGGCGCCGCGTTTCCGACGCCGCTGTTTTTTTTTTTGTTTGACCCGCGTGGAATTGGAGCACGGAGGGGTCGGAAGCCGCGGCATCGCAGAGGGAAATGTTCGCGTGCGCGCAAATGCGCGCACGCCGATGCGGTGCGGGAGGAGCGGCGGCGGCGGTGTGGCGGTTAGCCCAGGCTTGGCCACGAACCCGCGGCTACGCCCCGAGGTTCGATTCCCGCTCGCGGCCACCACCAACGCCGGTGGCGATTATCCGAACCGATTCCCGGGCCATGTCATCTCCGTGGTCGACTCGGCCACTGGGGAGACGATGGTGGCCGGGCGTGGTGCTGGCCACCCGCCCCTTCGTGTACCCTTCCGGCCTTCATAGGCGCTCGCTAACAGCACTTGCCCCTACAGTCTGTGAAAGCTACACGGGGGACCTTTGTCTTGTGGCAGCTGTCTCATCGTGCGTTGCACGACGCAGGTTTGGAGTGTCTGTGCGCTCCACGTTTCGAGACATTCACTCTGTGCGCTATTTTGCTTACTACCGCATATCAACTATAAACTTTTGATTTATTTTCCCAGTTAAGGGTCCACATGAGCCGCTTAGCTCTTTTTTTTCAGAAGCGACCTGGCCATCACAAATGACAGCTCAACGAAGTGGTGGCTTCTTATCATCATCATCATCACGTGGAAATGTATACCAGCAGTCAAATAACTCTGAACGCATGTTTCTAAATGTGGCGTTGCTGCTACTCGCTAACAGCACTTGCCCCCAGCAGTCTGTTAAGGCTACACGGGGGATCTCTGTCTTTGCATGTGTGCGTGTGGGGGGAGCGGTGGCACAGTGGTTAGCCAACTCTCTAAGCTCTGTTTGTTGAGTTTTTAATTATCCTTCCCAGTGCTGGATGCTCGCCCGAAACGTTCATGATCGACATCGGCCCCCATTTTCCCGAGCACGGCCAACAACAAAAAACTCTACACCGGAGTTTCGTTCACGAGCGTAAAGCGGACAGGCGGGCGGGAGCTGAAGTGTTGCAGAGAGGTGGCATTTTTTTTTTCATTTTAAGGACAAGCGACGCTAATTTTCTTGGCAACGATCCGTAAACTACTGCTGATGAGCACGGCCAGCCAGCGATCGATCGCGCGCGTGCGTGCGTGCGCATCGCCCACGTGAATACCCATCCCCCCAGCAGCACCTCACCTCAACTCCCCACCCCCCCCCCCCCCACTGGCCTCCATCCCCCACACACGCAAGGGTCCATTTCGTGTCCCGCCTGGGTGAATGCGATGAAGCCGAGCGGAGCGTAGGCTCGTTCCGTTCGCGGCGTTTACCAATTTACACATCGGGGTTTTTCGCGGAGACGGTGGTCGTTTGATTGCAGGTTGTCGTGTTGAGCCGCATGTCGGTAGGATGCGTGAAAGGCACATGCGCGATCCTCGCAAGGTGGCTTTGTTAAAAAGATTAAAGAACAGCAGCACAACGTGATCTTGTTTGCGTAGGATTAACTAAAGGGCTGCGGTGAAACGAGAACGGGCATTCGGCGCACGTCAAGAGTCTTACATTTTCTCCTGGAGAAATCCGATGAGTTGTGAAGCTCTTTTTTTTCCATGAAAAAAAATGGGGTTGGGGTGGGGGGGCGGGGCGGAGGGCTCGGGATCAGAAACTTTACAACAGCAAACAATACGGCGACACAATAGACGATCCGAATGCAAAGCATAGGAACC